GGTTTTTTGATAACTTTGCAGACTGTGACATTAGAATAGAGGAAAAAACTTTCAGGACTCTCATGGGGAGTTGAAATGTTCATGAATATCAAGCAGAACAGGAGTTAACTGTGTAAAATGAACTGATAGAAGACTAAAGTAATCTTTTTGATTTGTGCTTTAAATGTTGCTGATCCTTCGTTTTGCTTTTTTCAGAGTCAAGGAAACTTTTCTTTTGAGCTATTGACAACTTTAACAATTTAGTATACTCCTATAGACACAATTTGGAGCATATTTGTTTCTCTCTACCTGATTTCTCCAGAATTTGGAAACTATTTGTGGGTACTCTTAACTTATGGCAATACAGTTATTTGCATAAGTGCAATAAGAATCTATTTTCATTTTGCAACAGGACACAATTGGAGAAATTGGTTATTTTACCAAGGTTTTAATGGTGTGCATTCCTTTAAGGAATCAAACTTGACTTACGGAGTCAATAAAAGCCCTTGGGGAAACTGACCTCATACCTTCCCTGTACAGTGGTAAGTAAAGAATTTTACTTTCTGACAGGCCCAGGAGCTCCAAGTTTATCTTGGAACCTCAGGAGAAAAGGATCACCCAACTCATAGGTATTAGGTGGCACAAATTCATCATTGGGTTCAGCTTTAAAAAAGTCTTATCTGAAATTCCTTCTATGGAACAAAGTCCCATCAAAGAGGATTTAAAAGCCTATGTAAAAAATAATTATTCTTGCTGCACTGTATGCAAATAATTAGGACAAGTATAGTAAAGCAAATCAGTCCTACCATGATTTGTCTTTAAAAATGGGAAACTGGAGAGAGAAAAATTATGTTTCAAAGCTGTAGTGCACCTGTTGTTAAATTCTAGTCTTGCCTGATATTTTTCAATTTTATTATTTTCTACAGTTTGGACTGAACTCTAATATTTTTTGGCTATTAATTTTCAAAACAGTGTTTTCAATTTTTTTCCCCTTTTTCCCCTTTTCTCCTAATTTGGCGTCCCTGAAAACAAAACTGTGCTTACGTAAAGCTCTGCAAACTGAGGCTAGACAACTTGAACTTCAGAAGACAATAACAACCACCTATTTACATACCTAAGCCACTTTCATACCTGCCTACTGATATATGGACTTCAGAGTAATGTGGCCAACATCAATTTTCCAAAATGGTTCTTTTGTTTATTGTTGTTGTTCTCCCTTCCTCCCTCTATTTTCTCCATAGGACATGAGACTTCACAACTTTCTAAAAATGAGCTTTCCTAATAACTCAGGACCTACCTGTCTAGGAATAAATCATCCTAGCCATGAGATATCAGATAAAAAGACAAAACCTGGAACCAGAGACTAATTTTCTCCAAAAGATTTTTTTTTTTTTTTTTTTTTTTGAGATGGAGAATGGCTCTGTCACACAGGCTGGAGTGCAGTGGCATGATCTCGGCTCACTGCAATCTCTGCCTCTCAGGTTCAAGCAATTCTCTTGCCTCGGCCTCCTGAGTAGCTAGGATTACAGGCGTGCACCACCACACCCAGCTAATTTGTGTATTTTAGTAGAGACGAGGTTTCACCATGTTAGCTAGGCTGGTCTTAAACTCCTGACCTCAGGTGATACACCTGCCTCAGGCTCCCATAGTGCTGTGATCACAGGTGTGAGCCACCATGCTCAGCCTTCAAAAGATTTTTTTAGAAGAAAAGAGGGGAGATGTGAAAGAAAAATATCTTGGGTCCCCCAAATCACTAAGCTAAAGGGAAAAGTCAAACTGGGAACTGTTTAGCGTAAACCTGCCTCCCATTCTATTCAAAGTCACCCCTCTGCTCACTGAGATAAATGCATATCTGATTGCCTGCTTTGGAGAGGCTAATCAGTAACTTGAAAAAATGCAGCCACTTGTCTCTTATCTACCTATGCCCTGGAAGCCCCGCTGTCCACTTCAAGTTGTCCCACCTTTCCAGACCAAACCAATGTTCATCGTACATACATTGATTGATGTCTCATGTCTCCCTAAAATGTATAAAACCAAACTGTGCTCTGACCACCTTGGGCATATGTCGTCAGGACCTCCTGAGGCTGTGCCATGGGTATGTGTCCTCAACCTTGGCAAAATAGACTTTCTAAATTAACTGAGGCCCGTCTCAAATTTCTGGGGTTCACAGTCCCTTGGGTAAACGTTCAGCAAACCAGGACCTCACCCTTTCTTAATGATACCCTGATTCATACAGTGCTCAAAAAATTTGTTAATTTTGACAAACCACAATCTATACCTTGAGTTTTAAATCCCATTTTCTTCACTATCAATACAATTCAAAGTTTTAATATTTTTCTCAAGTTTCAAATGACCCCACACACTGTACAGGAAGTCTTCACTTAACACCATGAACAGGTTCTTGGAAACTGCAATTTTCAGTGAAATGACATATAGCAGGTCCTCAAATAACATTATTTCCTTCAACGTGATTTCATTATGACATTGATGAGAAAAAGAAAATTGGTTTTCTTATATGCCATTTTTCTTAAAATCATAGTCTCTAAGAACCTATAGATGACGTTAAGTGAAGACTGACTGTATTTCTTTCAACCTCTTTCTTTTCTTCCCTCATTCCTTCACTCATTCAGCAGAAACTGAGAGATGACTAAGTGCCAGGAAGTGTGCTGTCCTGGAATTCACATTCAAGTGAGAGATATAAATAATGAATTCCAATTCCAAAGGAGAAGGGAAGCAATAGGAAGCTGTACAAAGGCCAGCAGGCACTGAGCCCTGCCCACCGTGTTCCCCAGCTGGAGTCCAGAGCCATAATTACCACTAGCACAGCGCTTTGCAGCATGGCTTCTAAGCTCTCCTTTGCTCTTGCTCTGTGCTCCTCATGCCCTCCCCACACACCCACAGCTCCCAGAGGTGAACTTTACAGTGTGCTAGCACTGTGCTAAGCACTCTGCATACATTAGCTCGTTTAATGCAGTCACACAATGAAGCAAACATTATTATCTCCATTTTACATAGAGGCAAACTGAGGCTGGGGCAAACTAAGTGGTGTGCTCGTAAGTAGCAGAGTTGCCTCTTTTAACCATGACCCTACACTGCCTCATGAACCTGAAACACATGTGAGACCAGGATATGGGTGGTGGTCATTTTCTTGAAGGTTAAAAAGCTCTTTACCACAGATTTCCATTTCAAAGCTGCAGTGTTTCAGGAACAGATTTAAAAAAAAAAAAAGAAAAAGAAAGAAAAGAAGAAGTAGCTCTTTTCTGAGTGTTCTAATGGTTGAATAGAAAATATGGGGTTGGTAGGCCAGGAAGCTGTCATCACCTCTCTTCATTATACTAATTGCTCTGAAGATGAAATAAGGTTTGTTTCTCCCTTCTTATCCTACTCATAGTCCTAGCTCTGCTACTTCAGAATTGTATCTGCTATGGGTCAAGGGAGGCTTTTTTCCCCCTCATTATACGGAGACTAAAACAGGCCCATAGCACGTGGACAACTCACACTGGTGCACAGCCAGTGAGAGGCAGCCCAATGTCCCAGCAACTGTCCTCATTCGTCAGGGTGCCCCAGTGGCTGCCCTTTATTTCAACCAGGCATGCCTCACTCTCTCCCATACAAGCAGTTCTCACTCTAACCTTTGTATAATATATATTTTTTTCACAACTTCTTCCCATCCTAGAACAGCCTCTTCCTCCCAATATCCACCATACTATCTGAGCACACTTAGGCCTCTATGCCCACTCCAGCCTAGTCTTTCTCCCCTTTACTGTTACTGCCCTGGACCTCACCAGAGATTAGCATCAGTGTCCCATTTTATGACCTAATTATGCCACATGCATTGCACTTGCCTGCTGCAATGCACGCCAACCTGCTCAGGCAGGGCCAAATCTTCTATTACAATACTACGGGGATATTCCCATAGCAATGTAGTTCTGAGACTATAGGAGAGATGGATACATAGTTTGTAGCTGAAGTCTGTGTAATCTACTAGGCTTAAAGCATCTCTTTTCTGCATGTTTTCAAGCAGGGATGCTGAATTCTACATGTAATGATACGTTATAGACTCTACACACATTGGAACCTCTCACATCCTCTCAACTCACCTCTTACTCCAGCCCCCTCTGCAGCCTGTCTCCCCTAGCTGTCCCCCTGTCCCCCACCCCCCTGAGAAACAACCTGACAACGCCTCACCTTTTGCCATGCTATGCACCCAGGGCTTCTCAGAGACAAAGCGTGGAACCATGCCTGAAACTCACCACTGCTGTAGAACAGTGCAGCAGAGTTAATCTCTAGGAGCTCCCTTACCAACAGGGAAGGATAAAGTCCATGGATAAACGCTTGCCCCTTTTGTCCTCAGACAGACAGTTCTGAGGCTCTCTGAGGTTCCTGCAGGACTGAGCACCTTTCGTTAAGGCAGTGGCCAAGACAACCACTTTCCCTTCTTCCACTTTTAGCTCTGACCTTCAATCCTCCTCCCTGCTGGGCATTTCCTTCCAGGCTCTGCTTTCTGCCCTCCCCTCCCCCTCTCTTATGTTTTAACGACTAATGTCAGGGTCCCGCTGAGGAAAGGTCTTATATAAGCCTGTTCTCAGAATATTAAACACTTACAGTGTTCTGCTGGTTATTTGAAGGAGGACAGTTAGAAGGACTACATTCTAGCCAGGACTGCCCTACTTACTACAGAGAAACTTTTGCTGGATTAGGAAGTAACCTAGGGCAAAGCACTTCGACTTTCTGGGCAGGGTTTCTCAGCTGTAAAAATGGGTAATAGGGACCCTGGCTACTTTGCGGGGCTTGGGGGATCAAAGGAGATGTAAAGAGGAGGTTATTTCAAAACCGAAGGAGCTGAACAATAAAAGAATCTTTGGGTTACTCTGTGGCAAGGAAGGTAGACCACGGGGTGGCCCCTCAGGGGTTTCCAGTGCTCCACATTTCAGAGGAGTCCAGGGCGCTCCCAAAGCGCCCGGGTCGCAGAGCAGCTGGGTTCACTCTAAGCTGCCCGCTGCAAACCCGCGGTGTTTTCCAGAATCCGGGTGGTTTGCAAACCCGGATGTCAGGCTCCTTGTCCTGGAGATTCCCAAATCGCTCACCCACAACTCCTCTTCGGCCTCCCCCGGAAAGGAGAGAGCGGGGCTGCGAACTGGAAGAGCAGGGAGTGTGCGCTGGGCAGCCTCACTGCTCCTGTCCCCACCCCAAAGGCAGGAATTTCTGGGATGGGCAGATGGCTCACCCCTCCTCCTCCTCCTTCCTCAAGCCGCAGTGGGTAGGGCGGGGAAAACGCGGGGGACTTTCCCGCGTCCCAGCCAGAGCCCCGAGTGTCCGTTCACTGTGGCGACAGGGGTGGCGGAGTGGGTCTCCAGGGCCCGGGAGTGTCGAGGCCGCCGGAGGGGTGGGGCGCGGAGGAGGCTGCGGATCCGCCTCCGCGCTGCAGGGCCGGGTGCTTGGGGTGCGGCTGTGGGCTCCCGGGACAAGGGGCGCCCGGCGAGCCCAGTGGTTAGCGATGCTTCTGTCGCCGTCGCTGCTGCTGCTGTTGCTGCTGCTACTGCTGGGGGCGCCGAGGGGCTACGCTGAGGACGTGGCGGCGGCGCTCACCCCCGAGCGGCTCCTGGAGTGGCGGGGTGAGTCTCCCAGGGTCGGGGACTGGATCGGTACGTTGGGGAGGGGGGTCGGGGTGGTCGAGGGAGAGGAAGAAGGGGTGAAGCTAGGGGCCAAGCTGGCGGGCAAGGGCGGCCGCGTTTGTAGGGGTTCGTGTGTCAGCAGTCTTGAGCATGGGGGGAGGGAGTGGTGTCCTGCAGCCTCATGTCTAGGCCCAGCACCCTCCTGGCTCCTGCGGGGGTCCGGCGGCGGGGGGCGGGGCTTGGTCTCGCAGGCAGCTCCTCTCGACTCTGGCACCCGGAGCCAGCCCAGAATAGGAGTGTCGGAGAAGTTTCAAAACGGAAACTTTCCGAGAGCTGCTTATTTGGACCGATCGCATCTCGGATAAATGATGGCAAAAAAAAAAAAAAAGGCTCAGTTCGTCCCCTTGCAAAACAAGCGCTCAGAGTGTGCTCCGCCACCTGCGGAGTGACCCCCAAGCCAGGCCTCCCCAGTCCACCCCTTCCTGAAGGAAAACTTTTTTTTTTTTTTTTTTTGAGACAGAATCTTGCTCTGTCGCCCAGGATGTAGTGTAATGGCGGGATCTCCGCTCACTGCAGCCTCTGCCTCCAGGCGTCAAGTGATCCTCCCATCTCAGCCTCCCGAGTAGCTGGGACCACAGGTGCGCGCCCCCACGCCCAGCTGTTTTTGTATTTTTGGTGGAGACGGGGTTTCACCACGTTGCCCAAGCTGGTCTTGAACTCCTGGGCTCAAGTCATCCTCCCACCTCGGCCTCCCAAAGTTCTGGGATTACAGGCGTGACCCACGGCACCTGGCCTGAAAACATCAGACCAGGTGAGGGAGAGGAGCCCCAGTGACTCCATGAGCTGTGCGATCTGGAGCCTTTGTGCCTTAGTCTCTGTCAGAGGAAAAATGGGATTTGTTATATACATGGGACCCCTGAGAATTAAGTTACTCCCCAAACACGCACCTGCGCACACAGACCAATTCAGCAAACACTTATTGAGCACCTACTACACATGAGACTCAGAAGGATGTGTCAAGAGATGGAAGGAGATTTCTGGCCTGCAGGGGTCCGCATTCGAGAATGGGCCACCTCAGGCAGAGAAGCCTGCGCCTAAGTGCAGAAGTCCATATATGCAAGTAGGAGGGGGACAGGAGGGAGTTAAATATGCCAGGAGGAGACTCCAGACAGACTCCATCCTCTCTGCCTTTGGAGATAAGTTTGGAGAGAAGGGGTAACACAAAATGTGATCAATATCTGCGTTCACATTTTTTCCTCCCCAGTAGAATATATCGACATTTTTGAGGTAATCTTTTTTAGACTGTGTTTCCTAAGATCCCTGGAGGCTTAATCAGGGGCAGGTAGAACAAGACCATTCTTATTCTAAAGTGACCAAAGTCAGAGATGCTCTTACCTTCTTGGTCAATTCAGTAAAAATTGCTCCTGTGGATGCACATCTGATCCTGTGGTATGTTTGATTCCTTTCCACTAAGTTTACCATGCAGTGGTTATTCCTTTGCGTTTTAAAATGTGGGTTTTGACTGGGCACTAGGTGGTAGAACAGGGCAGCAGCCCACAGGACAGAAGTTGGACTGGGCCACACAGAGAGTATGTGCTGGTGATCTCTGAGCGAAGGGCTAATCCTTTTTATATGTAGCAGACCCAAATCCTGGCCTAAGACAAATTCTCATCAGTGTCTTCTTTTTGGTAGTCAAGGGCACTCTGAAATTAGAGCCATCTGCTAGCCCTTGTACCTACCAGGTGCAATTTGCAAATCTGACAAGGTCGAAATAGTTGGCATAGAGATTCTTCAGATATGAAAATACTGCTGCTCATTTTCCAAGGAGCACAGAGGTTATCTACCAATCCTCGCACAGGCTCCCTCCCTGATTCCAGTCATCTGCATCAGTAGAATTTCAAGTGTAAGCTAGACGGTATGAAGTCAAGTTTTTACTGTCAATACAAAATGGAAAAACAAAATCTTAACATTGAAAAGGACCTGAGACATTGTCTACTCTAGCCCTCTGTTCTTCAGATGTGGAAATTGAAATATGGCTGCCATGTAGTTAGCCACGCTTTGGGGTGCCTCAGTTTACTGCTGTGTTCGCTGTACCACATTGACTCACTTTAGCCACGATTGACATCCACAGAGCAACTGAGAGGAAAATGCACACTCATTTTCATTTCCAATCCACTAATAATGGCTATGTGATATTGTACAGCAGATTATACATACAGCATTTTTATCTGAATTGTTTGATATGTATTATTTATAGATCTGATATGTATTGTAAGCATGCCAGCCTTGGGAGGCAGATGATATATTGTATTGTAATGACTTTCCAATGATTTATCAATAATTCTTGATATGGTTTGGCTGTGCCCCCACCCAAATCTTAACTTGAATTGTATCTCCCAGAATTCCCACGTGTTGTGGGAAGGACCCAGGGGGAAGTAATTGAATTATGGGATCTTTCCCATGCTATTGTCTTAATAGCGACTAAGTCTCACAAGATCTGATGGGTTTATCAGGGATTTCTGCTTTTGCTTCTTCCTCATTTTTCTCTTGCCACTGCCATGGAAGAAGTGCCTTTCGCCTCCCATCATGATACTGAGGCCTCCCCAGCCATGTTGAACTGTAAGTTCAATTAAACCTCTTTTTCTTCCCAGTCTTGGGTATGTCTTTTTCAACAGTGTAAAAATGGGCAATACAATTCTGTATTCAAAAGTCAGTAGATACGGTATTATGCAGTAGTTAAGTTATTGGGCTTCAGAGCTAGACGGTCTGAGTTCAAATCCTGACTATGCCATTTACCATCGTGTGACCCTGGACAAGTACTTCACCCGTCAGTAGCTCAGTTTCCTCATCTGTCAAATGGAGCTAGTAATAGTACTAATCTAAGTGTTGTCCTTTTGCTGCCCTCTCACCATGGCGCCCTCCTCCTCTGGCCAATCCAGACTATTTTGACAGGTTGACAGCCCCATAACAATTATTTACTACCCTGTGTACAGCACTGTACTTGGCAGGTCTGAAGCTCATCTCCTCCTACCTTTAGTTCAGGCATCCCCAACCTCCAGGCCACCTACCAGCTTGTGGCCTGTTAGGAACTGGGCCACACAACAGAAGGTGAGCAGCAGTGAACAAAAGAGGCTTCATCTGTATGTACAGCTGCTCCCCATCCTTCACATTACTGCCTGAACTCCACCTCCTGTCAGATCAGTGGTGGCATTAGATTCTCAAAGGAACATGAACCCTATTGTGAACTGCACACGCGAAGGATCTAGGTTGCACTCCTTACGATAATCTAATGCCTGATGATCTGTCAGTGTCTCCTATCACCCCAGATGGGACCGTCTAGTTGCAGGAAAACAAGCTCAGGGCTCCCCTGATTCTACATTATGGTGAGCTGTATAATTACTTCATTATATATTACAATGTAATAATAATAGAAATAAAGTGCACAATAAATATAATGCCCTTGAATCATCCCGAAACCATCCCCCACCCTACCACCCCACTGGTCTGTGGAAAATTTGTCTTCTATGAAACCAGCGCCTGGTGCAGAAAAGGCTGGGGACCTTTGTTCTGGTTGGTTATTCCAAGGAGCCTGATTGTGGTTTGTTTTCCCTGATCAGAATCTGAGCCCTTCTTCTAGCAAGTGCTAAGACATGCTAACTTCACTCACTCAAGTACTCCAGATACAAAGAGGACAGAGGGGAGAAAGAAGAAGAGGATGGCGCATCCTGGTGAAAGCTGGGCATAGTCATTGCTGAAGGAAATGATCAGGGGGCAAGTAAAATGGTTTTGAAGCTTTGTTGAGGGTTGAAAAATGATCAATGTGAAATGGTCCCCAACTAATATCGTAGGAGAGTTTCCTTCTGTAGTGCTCAGCTTCCCAGAGCAGGAGTGGAAAGAACCCAAGTCTGTGTCAGTGCCTGGGCACTCTCAGGGTAGGCTCTTCTAAATGACCAGTGACCAAGGGAGGTGAGGGTGCTGATGAGTGTGTGGTCAGTGTGCTTGCCATGAGGTCCTAACTTGGGAGAATATAGTGAAACAGGGTTGGGTGTACAGGGTGTCTCTTGACATGCTGTGCCAATGGAAAGAGGGGTAGAGGCTGATGACCTCAGTCATTCATTATCTGTCAGGCACTATGTGTTTTATCTCCCTGTTTTACTTGGGCTCATCCAAAAGCAATTCCTGAGACATGTTTTCATTAGGGTGCAAGTAGTTTTTTTTTAGGAGGTGATTCTAGAAAGCATGGTAAGGGAGTGAGGACATGAGACCAAGGAGGGAAGAAAGCCACCACAGGCCACTGGGGCTCAGTTTCACAAAGGACCCTTTGAGGAACTGTATAGAACTCAGTGGACCCACCGACAGGCAAGAAGCTGAAGTATTTATCCACCAACTCCCACCTCTCGCTGTCTAAGGGTCACTCCTGGGGCATTCACCCCCTGGTGCTCCTGGTCTCCCTGAAACACTCAGGCAGAGAGCCACAGAAAGTCACTGGGAGTGCACAGGGACTGTCTGCAGGTGAGTGAGCTCCAGGTTAGAGGGTGTGAGGAGGGAACCAACAGAATCTGCTACCCACCTCCAGATTGGGGAGGTAAAAACATGAGTAGGATTGACACTGGCCCCAAGAGGCTGAGAGTGCAGGGACAGATACAGAAACACAAACAATTACAAAACAGCGAGAGAGGTCTTATGATAACTAGGGATGAGCAAAGTGCTGAAGGCGTGCAGAGGAGGCGCTGGCCTGGGGAGCTGGAGGCTCATAAAAAAACATTTGTTTTCCTAAAGGATAAGTAGGCAGTTGCCATATAGGAAAAAGGAGACTGAGCATTCCTGGGAATGCATATTTCGTGTGCAAAGGCACAGGATTATGTGTCAGGCAACAGTAAAAGTTCAGTGAGCTGAAAGTTCCCTTCTGAGCTCTTTTGGATTCAAGGAAAGAGGCCCACTGAAGGTCACTCAAGCAAGCGTGGAGTTGTTGTAATGGTCCCAGGATCTCAAGGGGGACC